GCAGGACAGGTTTAAACTGGCTTAAGTCTAGGAAAGAAGAGTGACAGTGTCCAGTTATGTAAAATAGAGGACAGTGATTATTTTCCATGTCTGTGGTGGGCAGGGTAAGTAATGTGTTGAATTTCATATTGAAGTAGATCCAGATTTAGTAATAAAAACTCTTCCAAACTGTAAGAGTAGAAGTGGTGCTGGACCAGACAATGGGGCAACTTGTGGGACTTTCTTCCAAGGGGCTCTTGAACAGGCTGGACTCACACTTGTCAGAAGTGAGATAGATGAAGGATCTCTACATCCTTAGTGTATGGGGGGCTGTGTCTTAGCCCCAGGCATCCTTTAGGCCACACCAGCAGCCCCTGGCTTTTGCTAGACTCTGTCCAGGTCTGGGAAGGAAATGTCTGTCAAGCTGCTCTATGTATAGGTGGTCTTGGGTGCTGTGTCAGGTTGTGTGTGGGTCTAGAGAAAAAGTGATGGCCATAATAGGAACATCTGAGCTCCCTTCTGATCTGGTACTTAATCAGAAATGCTGTATGTGGAGATAGACTATTTTAGTTGGAAGCAGCCTACAACAATCATCTAGTTCAACTGCCTGACCACTTCAGGGCTGACCAAAAGTTAAAGCAAATTATTAAGGACATTGTTCAAATGCCTCTTAAACAGTGACAGGCCTGGGGCATCAACCACCTCTCTAGGAAGCCCATTCCAGTGTTTGACCACCCTCTTGGTAACAAAATGCTTTCTAACATCCAGTCTAAACCTTCCCTAGCACAGGTTTGAACCATTCCCCTGTGTCCTATCACTGGATACCAGGGAGAAGAGCTCAGCACCTCCCTCTCCGCTTCCCCTCCTCAGGAAGCTGTGGAGAGCAATGAGGTCACCACTCTGCTTCCTTTCTTCCAAACTAGACAAGGCCTAATTCCTTAGTTGCTCCTTGTCAGACATTCCTTCTAGCTCTTTCACCAGCTTTGTTGCCCTCCTCTGGATGCGTTCAAGTACCTTCACATCTTCCTTAAACTGTGGGGCTCAGAACTGCACACAGTACTCAAGGTGAGGCTGCACCAAGGCTAAATACAGCAGGATAATCACGTCTTCTGACTGGCTGGTTATGCTGTGTTTAACGCACCCTGGGATGTCATTTGCCCTCTCGGCTGCCAGGGCACACTGTTGACTCATTGAGCCTGCTGTCAACTAGATGGCTATACTGGGGGAGGGTACAAATCTAAGTTTATATGTGTCTCATATGTTTTAATTTTAGTTGGTCAGGAATGTATAACCGTCCTCAGAGCTTTAAGCAGAAGAAAATCTAGAATCTACAAAAAGGATCACTGATAACTCAAATAAGCGTCGTTCCTCTCAGTGAGCCAGTATTGAAGTGATGTTCTTTGCTGGTTAGGGTGCTCTTTGCTGCTAGTTGCCATCTGCCTTGAAATTCAAGATTTCACACTTCAGAATTTCAGTCAGTAGCTGAATTAGCTGAGATTTTCTGGCCAGGCTTCAGTGCATGTCCATTGCTTTTTGCATATTCACACAAACATCTGCTTCCAAGCCTAGCTGTAGCAATACGTGTTGTGCTTCACCTCATGTGCAATCCTCTTTTAATGAGCAGTAATTTCTTTGTTTAGATATTCTTAAGGTGTAGTTTGGAATATATTTCGGTATCCGTCAAGATTAAAAGCACATATTGTATGTCTATCAAAAAAAAAAAAAAAGGTGGTGGTGCATTTTCCAAGAGGCACTGCACAGAAGTGTTAGGGGAATGTCTCTGTCTTCCTCTGCTAAGCCTTTTCTGTTTTGTTTTAGCACCTTTGTGCCTTGAGCCTTTATCACATGCAAGGTGAAACTCTCACGCAGCAGAGGAGCGACAACAGATCTACCCATCCACATACGTTCTCAGAGGAGACGTTTAGTGTTTCATAGCTGTAGTGCTGCCCTTCAGAGGTGTAATTTTTCACATAATAAAGGATAGGAATATAATGGGTTGCTTGGGAAAAAGTAATGCCAGTGAAATGCATTGGTTTCTTCTGGATTTGTTTGTAGGATCTCCTTATCAACTCTGCTGTGCAGTAGAGGAAGAAAATCTTCCCCCGTTCAATCTAATTCTTAATTGTGATTGGTATTTTGCAGATACAGAGCTGCATCCTTCACAAGGCCTCCACCAAAATAAGCTGTTGACAAAGCTAAATGGCTTCAAGAGATTCCCTGAGCCACAAGGATGGACTGTGACTGTAAGCCACAAGAACCCAGCTCACTCTTCCAGAGGTGTTTCCTGGCTGTTACAATCACTGTCGATAACCAGAGTCCAATCTGAAGCTGTGACAAGATATGTATTTGTGAATGGTTGCTGTACTGAGCTGAGAAGTAGTATATTGTTATTTGCACATACCAACCACTGCTGCTAGTCATTTTAATGCAATTTGTTGTCTTTATCCTGTGCAATTCCAATGATAACACAGTTGTCAAACAGAGCAGAGTTTGGCACACCATGTTGACCAAGCTTTATTTTAATCTTTCCCCATGTGCCATCTTAATGTGGTGTCTTCACATTGTGAATATGATTGTCTTTAGCTAACTGTGATTGTTAGGTGCACAAACGTGTGAATGCAGTAACTCAATAAAATCTGGCATTGCTGTTGTATTTTTCTTAATTTGTAATTTTCCCCCACCTTTATTTCCTCAGATGATTCTCATGGATCTTAAAATTATTTTGATGGGTACATTTTCCAACAAAAACTGAAGTTAGTAAAAAGTGAATTTTCTAAGGGAAGTTTCGATTTCAGTAGCTGTTTTCATAGGAAACAGTAAACACTGAAATTAATTGAAATAAACATCCACAAATGTTTTGCAGATTCTACATCAAAATATGTTGGAATATTTATTTTGAAGCAACCTTTAAAACTTTTCCAGTAGTGTTGCAGTTTGGAGCACTCATTTGTGTGGAAATTCAGCTAATCAAAGAGCTCTAATCACACATTTTATTTCCCCAGAAATTTTAGGAACAATGAATATAGTCTTAACTGTCGTATTTGAGCTTTCAAGTCTTTCAAGCTTTCAGCTTTGAAATCATGAACATTAATGATAATTTCTTTTTATCTTATGAGTGTTCTTTAAGATCAGTGATCAAAATAATTTCTAAAACGTTTAACCATGCTGTTTATGTTAAGGCAGTAGACAGATTTCATCTGCAAAGAGAAGATATAGCCTAAAATATTTACCTGCTATGTCAGTTTTGTCTCTGGTTATACTTAAACTTTTTAAGACCAGATCCTTGTCTGCTGTTTGGGAGTGACATCTTTGTGCATGATAGTGCTTGAAATTTAAACTTCTTTACAACTATCCGGTATTACGCATCAAAAACCCCCAAGCATTTCCGTTAAGCTACTCTTAAGTCACATTACTTGTGTGAAATAATACACCCCTGCCTCCCCAAAGAAATAGAGAATGTGATATATGTTCTCTGTATAACTGCATATACTGTCTCACTAAACTGGCATTTGCTACTGTGGACTTTTAGAAAATTAAAACCACATTGGATGTACAAAGTAAATATTTTTTTAGCAATAGAACATAAACCTGATCTTCCAGCCTCATAACTTTATTGACTGGGACTGTCAAAGAGCAGAAGAGAAAAAGATTTATGATTTTTGCCATCTGGTTTCCTTTGAGGATCTCAGTCCTGAGACGCACATTAAGGAAGTGTACGTTTCATTTTAAACTACTGATAAAAGTCTTGGAGAATGTAGAAAAAAAGAGGATTTAGGTTATTTCAACTTCATACAAACTCGATCCAGCACTTTTATAATTTTAAAATTTTAAATTATTAAAGATATTTTAAGGTAATAAAAGATACTCTATTTTGAGTGTTGCAGATCAAAATTTCATTGATCTTTGTCTCTTGAGTAATTTCTAAATGTTTGATTCCTCAAGTTACAAGGTTATTTTTCCATCAGATATTGGGCTTTTTATTCGAGTATCTTAAGTTACCAAAAATGCTTCCAGTTCTGTGCCTATGTCCAATGCCTGTTTATGGTTTCTGGTACTGTGTTAGGAAAATCTATTTCTTTGCCCTTTTAGCTAGTTATTTTGTAATTGAGGGTTTCTAAATGTCACAAAAAAGTACCTCCCACGCTGGTTTGATTAGGGAATTCAGTATGCTGCCCATAACAGCTTTCAAACATAATGTGCAGTTGCAATAAGGGCGGCCCCTGTGCTTAATAGACATAATAAGGTTTAATGTACTTGTTAGGCGTAGCTCTCATTTTTGCCCTGGGAACATTTTAAGCTTAAGTTGTTTAAATGACCATAGTAAAGCAAAGTCAGAGCTGTTCTGCTACCATCAGCCACAGAGAAGCTAGTAAATTTCACAGGAGTTGGTATGAGCCTTTTTTATTGTTTTTCAAAGTTGAGGAATTTTTCAAATCATAAGGACGAAATAAAAATGGGAGAAGGATTGTGTAATAGGATGCAATAGGCCTCACGGACTGTGGGATATAGAAAGTGTGCTTTGCCTCTGTACATTTATAGATATCAGCAGAGCAGCACAAGCAGCAGCCCCCGATGGGTTTCACTGGGACTGGGCTGGCTGGTTCCCACTGGTAGTTCTGGGATGGGCTGCCTCTTTCTTTGGAGTCACACTGACAGAAGTGGCAGCACACTCCAAAGTGATCGACTTTTCTCATCCTTACCATTCTCTAGATATTTCAATATTAATAACTGGCTGTTTAATTGTAATCTTTAATCTGACTTTGGGTCTAAGTAGAAAATGCCTAATCAGCAGTCTCACAATATCAATCAAGTACTTAATGACTTTCATAATTAATCGCCTTATTTAAATATAATTCCTGAAAGCTTTGGCCTTTGCAATTTCTAAATTATGGAAGAAAGACCAAAGAAAAGTCACAGTTTTACTGAATGAAAACAATGTCTGTTTTAATTGTTTTCCTAACGTGACAAATGCTAGAGAACCTCAAGATTGTTCCATCCTTCAAGCTCTGGAAAACATGAGGCAGGAAGAGCATAAAGATTGAGATATTTCCTATGAATACAAATGGGAAGCTTTTAGGTTTTCATGTGTTAGCCTGAAGCTCACAGAAATCCTGTCTCTTAATTTGAGGTAAGGAATTTAAAATTTTGTCGAATAGATTTAGAAATGATTATAGCTATAAGGTGGTCAATTAGTAGATGTCTGTGGAAGATCTACTTGTTATTTTCTTAGCCATTTGTTTAGAAGTTTTAGAAAGTTAAGAAAAAATATAAATAGACTTAATATTTTAACAGATATTGAATAGTTGGATAAAGATCCATGAATGTATTGCATTAAAAGCAGAGGATGAGAGAATTTTGCAATCCACAAGTTTTTGGAGAGTCAGTTCCTAGCCATATGAGGCTATTTCTGTTCAAAAAAGAGATCTCTGCTACACTGAGAAACTGAAAAACTTGAAAACGTAATCTGAACAACCTCCAGCACCAGTATCTGTCCGAGTTCCCAACAACCATTTATTTCTGGAGTAGATCTTTGGAAGCAGGATGCTGGTTTCTAGTGGTCAACAGGATTATTGCATTTAGCCTCCCTTTCCTGTCATTCTGTTGTTCCTTAGTGACATGTGTGTCTATATAGCACATTTGTGTAACATTCCTTTGTGAAGAATCTATCCAGATGTCTCTGACCAATATACTAAAATTTAGATTTCAGGTATGTTTTTATATGCTACTTAAACCCATCGTTTTAGTCTTCTCCATTATTGCTATGCTTTTTCCAATCCACATCCTTTAGTAAAACTGTTCAACATCCTTGCTTTATATACAGAGGAGTACATTTTGATGGCAACAGCACACAAAGTGTTGAAATTGATTAGTGGAAACAGCATAAGTACAAAGAGCTGCATATAAGCACCTTTTTTTGCAATTGATGTTTCAGGATACTCTAGCTGAAGAGTATCTTAATGAAACCACAGCTTCCCTTTCCCCCTTATTAAAAAGAAGCTGTAGGTAATAGGATGTTAAGGACCATGTTTTTTTTTTCCCTCAGCTGTCAAGCAGCATCACCTAAAAGTTTTGGGAATAAATGGGTTGTTCAGGCTTTTGTTGGCTGTGGATGGACTTTTGCAAAGGGGCATGGGAGTGTTGGTGGGACAGCATCTTGAGCCTCCTGAGCCTTCATTCAGGCAAAATCTGTATCAATTCCAAAAGGGTGTGCAGAAGCAAGGCCCAGGGTTTGCCTCCAGAATTAGAGGGAAGCGGCAGGGGAGAGTGAGCCACTGGCTGATGGACATTACATGCTGCCAGTTCTCATGTGTACTGCGATAATCTGGATTCCACAGATAACACCTTGTAATGACATGCCCCTGTGCCATTATCTCTGCCTCTGTGTTCTTTTTCTTTAACACAGTGTGTAGCAGATGGAAACCCTTCAGATGTTCATGTAGAGTCAAGAGAATACCAGAATGGCTCTGCAGATGGCTTTCAAATAGCCATGGGGCTGGACTGCATCTGGGAAACCAGAAAAACCTGGTGGAAACCAGGCCTCAGGTCAGAACCTGCACAAAGTTGTGACTTACTCCAGGGAGGAGAGCTAAATGTTCCTCTTATTCCTGATGAATGACTACTTGGTTCTGCAAACAAATATAAGGTAAGTATGTTTCCCTTTAATGAATGCACAGTATTTTTTCCTAAATGCACCAACCACAGAAATTTCAGTAAATTGAGTCTGCTCTTTTTACAGTGCTGAATCAAAATGTCAAACCAGCATAACTCAATTATAGGAGAGGAGATAAAGCATCATGCTGAATACCAGCAAGTTATTTGTGAAATACTTCAAATTGCCAATGCCATAACTACCTGTGGGAAATTAGACCAGACAAGAGCTTAGATTCAGCTGTGGGAAAATTGACTCAGAGCAACTTGTTTGCAAAGTTTCAAAATTAGATTTTTCACCCCACCTGAGCTTTATAGACTGGTTGCACCCTTCAGTTTGTTACTGGTTTTGCTAAAAATAATTTTTAGGTGCAAATAAGTGAGGGGAGGGAAAGGAAGAATCAGAATTCACGCATTTGAATTTAAAAAAAAAATGTTAAAGAACTTGTTATTTTTTCAATGCAATTTTGTCATTCTTAAAAAAGATCGGTCACTCCGAAATCCTTTCTATGGAGGAGATGATGTTGCAGCTGAATCATTTTTCTTTGCATTTTTAAGCAGAGATGAGTACCTTATTCCTTATTTTAATGATGCTGAGAGGCAAGTTGTAGTGACTTTAATATTACATGAGGTTGTGTCTGAGTTCTTCATGTTGAATGAAAAGCTGGATATTTCCAGCTTGAAATAAATAGCTTTATTTATGATGAAGGCAACAAATTCTCTCCACAATTAATGGGAGACATTAAGTACCTCCAAGAAATGCATTTGGTATTCATGCGATACATTGTTTTAAAAAAGTAATAGTAACAGTTTGAGCCACAGTTGGGAAATAAATTACTAAAGATATTGACTCTGATGACTACATGTACAGATCACCTCTGCAATATAATTCTTCTAAAGTGCAAATTATTAGATCCTGTAATTTGTGAATATTTCCTACTTTTTATTTTCTCCATCGCCATGGGGAGGCAGGAGCTGAGAAAGCAAAGGTTATGAAGTCTAGTTAAATCTTTTGAAATGCTGATTAAAGTGGTACACGTGTCCTACAGATCCTTACCTCTACACCTGAGGATGAACGTAGCACAAGCTGGTGGTAAAGCTGGTACAACAACACTGTTGTAGGACTGTGATTTTAAAGATACATATACTATCATGACATATCTATATCGTGATACTAACCTCATGCTCTATTTGAGGCTATTGATGTGGTTTGCCTTGATCTTGCTGAGCCCTGGCTTTCATTCTTTCCTTCTCTCTCCAGGGCCACAATGGTGCCCTGAATGGCACCTCCACTCCAGCAGGAGAAGGGCTGGAGGCAAACAGCACTTCCCCATCACATCCCTCTCTCTTCCCAGCAAAGCCACAGAGCAGAATTGGCTGCCTCATCTGCAGCTGTTGGATCCTAGGAGAGAGGTGTGCTTGAAAAGGGTATCCTGTATGCTAAAAAGTAACTGCAAGATGGAGAAGGTCCCAGCAAGTGCATTGTCTCTCTGTAATAGGCTTTGGGGTTTATCATGGATGATCCCAGTCCTCCAGTGGGCTTGGCTAGGAAGAAATAAGTGAAATAAGAAAGAAACCGACAGTCTTCTGTATTTCTACTGACCTCTTCTTCAAAAGCTGTAGTAGCACTGCAGAATGTGGGAGCAGTGTGACACTCGTTTGATATCAGCATCACGAAAAATTCAGCCCAGTCCTCCTTGCAGTCAGCAAGAATTAGCATGCTACCTCCCACACCTGTATCTAAGTTGTGTTCATGTTCAGAAAATGTGGAGGTAAATGCACCTAAGTGATCACGTTAGGGATGTTCATTTTGTGTTAGAGACAAAAATGGTATGCACAAATGGCATTTGTCATCTCATTTCTTTCCAAGTAAGAAAACTGAGAGTTCAGTCTGAGAATGCGAAACCTTCATTCCTAAAAATCCCCACCATATTTAATTGTCTAACTTTAATTTACTTTATCTGATGCAGAGTAATTTCAATAGCAGCAAACCTGGAACAAATCCTCACTGTAAACCCAATCCTCTCTCCAAGCTTAATCTTCCACCTGTGAGGATTTGAACTGCCACTTCAGATACAGAAGCCTTTCCCTCTCAGATGTGAGTATGAATCCCAAACCTGCAGCACAGCCTCACCTCCAATGTTAAGGCAATAAGTAGAAGGGATGAGACTATAAGGAAAATACGTGACAAGGAGTCTGAGTAGCGTGACCTAGTGTTTGGCTAACTCAGACACACATGCTGCCGTGGCAGACCTTGGAGCTTGGAAGAAGGCAGATATTTGGGAATGCATCCAGACAGCAAGGGCCTATAGGGGAAGGACAATGCTGGCACACTCTGTGGCAGATGATCTTGGACTATTTTCAGGTGTATTAACTGCATTTTTTGAAGATGGAGTGATCAGTCATTTTGGGGCGAGGGAGTCTTGGTCACTCATGGGAAAGCAGAGTGAAAGTTTGGGTTAATTATTGACAGAAATTCGGCCTGTGCAGGGAAGAGGGATGTAAACAGGAGGCAGAGGAGTATGGGGCTGACATTCTGAGACTGCAGGTGAAATCATTAATTCTTATACCTGCTTCCCCTCTGACTCCCCTTTTCATTCATGAATGGTCTCATTATTCTTTCTTCTGTGTACGTCAGTATGGAAAATACCTTGCACATAAATGTCATCTTCTTTATGAAGAAAAAACAAAAAGATCATAAAGTTACAGCAAATCTGTGCCAGCCTTACTGGTGTGTAACATGCAAGTGATTTCCTTCAAGTTTTGTTGAGTTTTTGGGTTGTGGTTTCGGCTCTGACTCTTCACTTTGCTGCTAATTAGCACATTAATGGGTGGCAGTTGGAGTAAAGATCCCTCCAATACATCACAACTGGAGAGCTTGTTCCACTTGGGGAAAATACTGTTCCTTGCAGGTTATCAACAGGAGATGTTTCATATTTATCAGTTTGGCAACAGTAGGTGGTATGAGGAGCTGAAGAGTAGTAGCAGTAACATTTCAATAAAGTAATTTTCTAACTTATTCAGAATACCACAATATCTTAAACAATTTTAAAAAAAAGTAGTAGTAAAGTGGTTGCACTGAGCAGTGACTGTAGTGTTAGACAGGGGATGTGGAATAATACTTTAACCCACCAGGTTACAGATAATTATGAGCCATCCAAAAATAAAATCATCACAAAACATGATGCTTTGTGCAGCATGTCTTTTTGGAGTAGCATGAGGAAGCATAAAATATCCCAGGACAAAGAATAATGAAAGTGCAGAACTCTGTTTCAGTGATATAATGGGACTAAATTAAATCTCAAAGTTACACACTTGGGGAATTAAAACTCCCATAGAAGGAATTTACTGGCAGATCATTGGGCCGTATCTGAACAGTGGTCAGCAACCATTGCTAACTCCACACAGTAACAGAGGAAAAGGGAAAAGAGGAGCAACAAGCCTGCACAGCAGTGAAGGATGGAGTTAGAAAGGGCTCTCTCTACAGCATATATCAGATGACAGAAGGCCTGTGGAAGTCATTGATCTGTCTGGTCATTGACACCAGAGATAAAATCTGTAAAATTGTGTTGATATGTCCTGTTAAGGACACTGTGCAATACACAGCCTTGTCTACCTTTATCATAATTTGCAAAAAATTCTTTGATTCAGGCTTGTTTGGGACAAAGTTGTGAGGTGCAATGCCAGGGGTACACCGTCTGTTTTCTTTTGCTATTTGAAAAGTGCTTAAAGAGGAAAAGAAGGGCCAGGTGAGACAAAGGGATTCTTCACCCAGGGCTTATTGATCCAGAGGGGATGCAGATGTGCCGCTGTAGTAAAAGATTTCAGTGCAGTTGCTTTCATGTTATCCCTCTGCAACTGCCAAAGCTCACGCTATCGTACTCAGCAACGCTCGTATTACAGTCACCCTTGTGACTTGTTTTTAATGTCAGATCACACGACAGCATGACACATTGTCAGGTGTTCACATCCAAACATTCACATGCTCTCGTACTTTTTCAAGTGTCTAACGTGGCAACAGAAATGCAAGAGAAGGATTTTCGGGAAAGTTATTTGCAGCCTTACAGATTTAAAAATCTTTCTTGTTTCTGCCTTAGGACGGAACAGTGTTTGTGCATATTCCAAGTCTCACAGCATAAGATGATTCAGGGAAAAGTATGTGGAGTTTTGGCTTCTGGCTCATACCTCCCCTAACATTTACTTTTCCAATTTGTCCTTCTCTTTCAGGAACACTATGTTTAGTTCGGTACCTAAAACTGGAGTTTGACTGGAAAATGTTAGACTAATCTCTGGTAACTTTCAGAATCTAAGCTCTTCTGAGTTTTTTTAAGGTACGTCTTGAAATGGATTTGGAATATGAATATTTTAACAAATGTTTGTGTAACACATAGACTTGCCAGTCTAATGACTAGGAAGAATAGGAGCCCACAGTATCAAAGACACATAACAGCCTTTTGCAGAACAAGTTTTTAGGAGGCAGGAATGCTTCACATGCTTAAGAAAGGAACTGGAAGGAAACACCCAGGAGCCCACATTTCTCTGTCTGTTAAGGAGCAGACTTAACATATTGTTAAGCATAAATTGAGCCTGATAATTAGATCAGTGGTTATCCATTATTTTGTGCAATGAGGAGCATAAATTTAAAAAGAACAGTATCTCTTAATGAAGCAAAAATGTCATCACAATCATTGTTTCTTATTTTAGCATAAGGAAATAGAGTAGTTTTCATGGTGCAATTACATCATTAGAAGCAATTTAAATGTCATCTTATTTCTCTATAGAACATAATTAATATATGTCTAATATACCAAGAATGTTGTTGGATCTTGTGCTAATTTCATCTTCAAAACAGAAGATCTTTAGACATAGAAACCTTAAACCCTAAGTAATCAATAAGCTCTCAGTGTTAGCAGTTTTACAGTGTCTTTCGATTACATTGAAACGATCACCTCTCACCTCACTGCTTCTGCTGTGACTGAGGTTCCCAGGATCTCTGAACATCATATTCTGAAGCCTAAGAGTGCCATCAGACAGGACTGTAAGCATTTCTTAGACTTCTGCTATCTTATGTTGATACTGTGCCCTTTCCGACACTTCAGAATCCTTTGCTCCATTAGAGACACTGAGCTTCATGGCTAATGGAAGTGCACAGGCCTCTCATCATGAAGAGGGATCTCCAGCAGCACAGAGCAGCTTGGTACAATAGCTGTGGATGAGTAGTAAAGAAGAAAAAATACAAGATGCACCTAGCTGGAATGTAACTAGAAACCTAGCTGGACAGAGGGTTAGAGATGGTGCAGTGAGGGATTTGGGTAAATGTAGACTTCTGTGATACTGCTGTCATGATGGAAGGAATCTGGGTTTTCCTGTGGATCACTTCTGCTTACTGTTTTGAGCTGCTGTGAGGGGAGCCAATTGCTCTCCAGCTGCCAAGGCCCCATAGCTGCGGGTTCCACTTTGTATCCGCTGACTCCCTTCTGCTGCGTACCTGTGTCCCTGGCAGATATCTGTAAAGCTGGAGCTGTGGGGGATGGTCAGTAAGCAGGTCGTTAGTGCCAGACATTAGGCAAGGTGGGGTAGCAAGAGGGAACTGCTCTTCCCCAAACAGCAGCCAGTCACAGATTTGCTGCCTTGTGTGACAAGATGAGAATTGAACCCTCACTGAATATATTCAGACATTTTTCTTTTCTGTGTACTGGGGCTGAACAAAATACTTGAGGACTACCAGGCAAGTATCGCATGCCCCAGCCAAATTAATTTCCTCCCTTTTCCATAGTGTTTTTCAGCAGTAAAAAGTAATGAGAAATACTTGGCTACTGGTATTTTTGGCTACGTCTATTCAGTCTTCCAGAACCGAATGGTTTAGCTGGATGCTGTAATATCAGAGCAGAAACCTCCTCATCTGTTAGTGCTCTGAGACCAGCCACACTGGGTTTCTTCTTCCATTGGGAGCTCCTGTAATATCTGTCAAACATTCTTCAAGTCTGCATTTAAACTCCTGGGAAAACACACACTTGACTCTTGGACAGTGCTGCGTGGCCTTGAGCCTCCCACTCTGCATCTGTGATTCAAGAGTGCTTTTGTCAGATCCCAGCTGTAAGCAGAAGAGGCCCGATGCTGCCCTCGTATGCAGAAGTGCAAGTTGATTCTTTCAGAGTCCCCTGGCTCTAAACAGTATCAGAATTAGGCCTTGAGTCTTAATTAAGTGTTGTGTTCCTTCTAAATGAGTCACTTTTCTGTCTTCTATACTTTATTTCCTCAAATAACTTAGCACATACATAGTTATTTTCACTGTGGGTATGCATCAAGGTCTGGGCCAGAGCGTCCGCTCTGTTGTACTTGGTGCTGTGTAGTC